AGGGATCAAACGGGCCTTGAAGCGGCTGCCGCTCTCTTGCAGTGCTGTGCTTTAACCCACTGCACCACCAGGGAGGGCCCTCACCTCAATTTTTAAAAAGTGAGTGGCAGGCAGTTTCCTCATGATGCAGTAAAAGCAGAATCTATGACAATAAGGTAAAAAATAGAGTAAAAGTGCTAAGGCACTGACAGAAAATACTTTTCATCCAGAAAATACCTGAGTCAAAGCAGCTAAAAGTCAGGCCTTTCATGCAACATTATTTGTAAATGCAGACAATTTGAAAAGGTGCCATCATCAGTTCTGAGAACTGCCCTGTGTTCTGCAGTTGACTTCTGTATCTCTCCTCTTTGACTTCTGATTTGGAGTCAAGTTCCCTTATATTACTTCATCAGATAAAAATAGAAAATAGAGGTCACCTGGATTTTGTAGTGTTTTAACAACTACATTGAGGCTGTTTATGACAGGACTATATGAAAGACTGTATGCGGTCTGTGGAGTGGGAATTTAAATTAGAGCAGCTTCTTTGGACCAGGTATCAAAACATCGATTGGCAAAGATGACTCTGTCTGGTGACTTGGTGTTTTCCTTCCTGTCCTAGGGAGATAAATCAGTATGCGGAGAAACTTTTTGCAAGATATGTTTATGCAGACAATTTGTTGGAAGCCCCAAATTTCCAAAACTAAAAGAATAAAAAGAATGGTTGAATTAGCACTCATTATCAGTCATTAAAAGCAACACTTATGAAGAGGTTATAATTCCAAATAGCTAACGTGAGATCTCACAGAGATAAAAGACAGAATTTTTAAAAGATGTGTAGTCAAATCATTGATGTTAAGGAAACATCTATCTATAGGTGAAAAAAACCACAAGGAAAATTTTAACTGTACTTTCTGTTGGGTCATATTTTGTTTGCTTCTGCTTGTTGCATTTTCCAAATATGTAGTAGTAAAGTTATTGCAGCAGTGAGTTCATTGGTCAGGCCCTTGCTGTACATCCAGTATTGTGGCATTATAACAGGTGGCAACCATTGGCTGAAGCTGTTACGGGGTGCCCCCTGGAGGGTGATGCTGACAAAAATAGAGAGCTCCAGGGAAAAAATGCCAAAAATGGGGTGGAATGACTGATACGTAATATAAGGGACTATAAACTGGCTGGGCCATTGGCGGTGGTGTGGCGATGAGATGGCCGCAGACAGGCCTGGGCAGCTGTACGTGGGCTTTGTGGGCATGGCCCCATGGTGGAGGCCATCGTGCATGGCCTTGTCCATGGAGCAGTTTTGGGAGACCTGGCAAAGAAAAGGAGAGACCAGGAGCTAGGCGTCTTGCTAAAACGTGTGAGTGTGGCCATTTGTCGGGTCCTTCGGCCACTGCAGCTGCTGTCTTGAGTATCACTATCGGGTACTGTACTGGGGGCATTTCCACAGCTCAAGGAGCATCTCGTTGCATTTTCTGCTGTGACTGTGAGTTGGATCCTGGCCTATGGTTTGACTGTAACATGTCCACAGTGGCAGGAAGAAGCCATCTTAGATATGGCCTACTTAGGAGAGGAGCTGGGTACCCTCAGTGGCAGGAAGATTCCATTGTAAGTGCCTTTGTGCAGGACTGAGCAATACTGGACACAGCTGTAGGGAAAGTAGACGGCCATTACTGGCCTCAGTAATTCTTTGACTCTTCCCTGGTTTGTTAAATAAATCCCTTTGCTGTTCCTTGTGTTTGAGTAATTGCAATTGTGCGCGTGGGTAAAGGACTCAGACAGTGACCAGTAAACTATGGGGCAGTGTCCTTTGGCCGGTTTAGTGTCCCTTGCTGCTCTCTATCAGCTTCTCCATGTTTGTTCTCCCGGCAGTCCCTGGAGACGGGCGCTTTTATTAGTCCAATTCACAGTAAGGAATTGAGACTCAAGGCGTAAAGGAACTTGCCAGGCAGCAAGTCAGGTAGATCCACACGTAAGCCAGTCAATTTCAGACGCACGTCTTAACTCTCCTGCATGAAAATAATGAGTGTTGGAGATTCGCAGTGTGTGTTCAATCAGAGGTTGTGTGGTTGAGTTCATGGCACACTGCCTTAGTAACCAGGGGCAGTCTTTCTGGATCTGCTCCTGACCCTGTGTGTGATTGAAATAAAACAATTTGCTGTCAGTCTGAGTTTTCCTATCCTTACAGCAAGGAAGGAAGAACCACCCATTTGCCCGATTTTTTCTGTTTGGGAGCCCAAGTAGGCACTTCTGATAAATACTTGCACGTATCATGAAATGGCCATAATTGGGTTCATTTTATATTTAAAGTCTATGGGTGTAGGGACTAGCCAGACCCGGCCCAAGTCCCCTGGGCACTCAAGCTCCTTGCAGATCTGTTTGCACAGCTGCAACCAGGCCCAGCAATAAGTACCTTGAGTGGTGAGATGAGGAGTAAACAACATTGCCAGTGGGAGCCGTCACTCCTCCCGAGCCATCCTCCTCTCCCCCACTACATCTTGCTCACCTGATCGAGCTCTGCGAGTAATGAGAATTTACCTAGGTTTCATGTAGGTTTCTTCATGTTTAGTGAGATAAACGGAAACTTCACCATTGTAAATTGCCAGCATGCAGAGCTGGTCAAGGGAAGGAGGTGAAACAAAATGGAGTGATTCTGGTGGGAACGAGGGCCAAGGACTCGCCTTTGACTTTGCTTCTGGACTCATGGGCATTTTGATGGCAGTTTCTGAATGCAGTAGACACCCACAGAGGGTTGTGGCACAAGGGCTTGCTTGATGCTTCAAGCCCTCTTGTAATCTTCAGCCTGCTCTGGGACAGCTGGTCAGTCCTCTGACAGGGTTCACCTCTCTTTTGAATTAAATCTATACTAGGAAATGTGTTGATTCATGATACTGGACATATTAATATGTTCTGATTTTTGGCCTCCAAATTCTACATCTGTAAAATACTTGGAGCTCAAGATATTAGGATGGATCATTTGGGAAGGAAGCGGTTTTGTTTTTTTTTTTAGATTTATTTATTTATGCATACAGAACTGGGGTATAGGCCAGAGGTGCAGGGGAGGTGAAAGAATTCACCAGAAACAGAGTGGGGAGCAGAACAGGCAGATCGATGAAGTACTGAGGGGGGCAGCAGGTGAGACAGGGGAGTTCTGCCGTGCCATGTGGGTCACCTCCGGGGCCAGGGCCGGCGAGGGGGAGTGAACTTGCACTGAAGCGGCTGTGGCTAGCTTGCAGAGCTGTGCTTTAGCCTGTTGTACCACCAGAGAGGGCCCAAAAAAGCTGTTTTTATTCTTATTTTATTTATTTATTTTTTATTTTTTTTATTACAAAAGTTTATTTTTACATCATTTTGTACATTTTTCCCCCATCACAATTGTAATCCCTGTAGGTTTCCCATCATCAAGTCACCCATGTGCCATCACCATAATCCCGTGCATTTCCCTTCCTCCCCCCAGTTTTTAATCCCATTCCCCACTCCACCCCCGCAAAATGTCTCTGGTATATAGTTGTTCATTATTTTTGTTATTTTCTCGCCTGGTCCATTATATTCCTGCTATGAGTGAAGCCATCCGGTATTTTTCTTTCTCTTTCTGGCTTATCTCGCTAAGCATGATCTTTTCCAGCTCCATCCAAGTTGCTGCAAAAGACATGTGTTTCTCTTTTTTGGTTGCTGAGTAATATTCCATTGTATATATGTACCACATCTTTCTAATCCAGTCATCTACTTTTGGGCATTTGGGTTGCTTCCATGTTTTTCCAATTGTAAATAAAGCAGCAATAAACATGGGGGTACAGGTATCTTTTTCAATCAGTGTTCAAAAAAGCTGTTTTTAAGCAGAGTTGTAAGGGAATGGATCAGAGTGTGGGGGACTGAAGGTGGAGAGATGGCAGAGACTGCAGCGCATAACAGAAGAGGACGAGGCAAAGACATGCCTTAAATGAATAGTAACAGCTGGCATTCGGTGAGTCCTTACCATGTGCCCAGCTTTATGTCTTTGTGCCCCCTTGCACTCCCCTATTAATGAATATCTGTTTATGTAAATATATGTTAGTGTAACACATAGCACAGGCATGTATGTCTAACTTAGCTTAATGTATAACTTTAAGGCAAACATTCTTTTCAGGACTGCCCAGATCCAATTTTGTTAGTTCTTGCTTCATATATTTTGGAACTCTGTCATTAGGTGCATAAACAATTAGGAGTGCTTTGTCATCAGGAAATGCTGCAAGAAGGGAGAGTGAACCAAGAAGTAAAATCAGAATGGGCTACTTCTCACTCTGGTTTTTGCCTGAGTTCTTGAAAATGAATGTTTGTAGCATGTGCTGGCGTCAGGGTCTCCTGCAGAAGAAACTCCTCCATCCCTGCACCAGAGCTGAGCTCTCCATCTGTCATGTTGAGGAGGCCATGGAGGGCCATGGACTTTGAGGCTGGATAGACCCACTATTTAGCTTACGTTTTGTGTGTCTTGGAGATTTCACTTAGATCTCCAAGTCTCTGTTTCCCATAAAGAACATATTAACAGTAGTATGGTCCCTTCTCTGATACTGAGGCTACAGGATAGTAGATGAAAATATTTTGGCAGAGACTATAATGCATTATAAATCAATAAACATCAAATAATACAATGTTATTGTGTTATTTGTTATCTTGTTATATGACCTCACTTGAATGGAGGCTCAGTTTAAGACACAAGTATTAAATCCTTCTACCATGGATCAATAGCCATGGTTAATTTTTCACTAATTAATTTATTGCATAGAACTGCATTGCAGACCAGCAGAGGGGAGAGGATTCACCAGAGACAGAGTAGGAGGCACAGAAGATAGATTTACTAAAATATACTCCTGTGAGACAGGAGAGGTCTGCTGCGCCATGTGGGTCCCCTCCCTGGCAGGGATCAAACTCAGGCCACAGTGGAGTCTTAACCCCTAGACCACCAGGGAAGCTCATGGACCCATGATTGTATAGTACAGCAAGTAGGTACCGGCTGACCCTAATTCCTGAGGTGTCTCCTTTTTCCACAGCACCGCTCTGTGTTGGACTCATTATAATATTAATCATATACAATTATTGGTTCCTCTACGTGCCTATTTTGACCTGGCTTTACATTGACCGGAGAACACCAGAGCAAGGAGGCAGGAGGTCCAATTGGATCAGAAGCTGGACCATGTGGAGGTACTTTAAGGACTATTTTCCAATTCATGTGAGTAAAGCTGGTTTATGCAGGATTTTTTGAACTGGGAGAAGAATGAAAACTTGTTCAGCTCATATATATTTTAAGCTTTTTCCCTTTAGAGGGAGCTATCCTACAGCTCAAGTTACTACATGGACTTTCAGCTAAATTGACAAAATTTAGAAGTTACTAAATTTTGAGGGACTCTGGGCAAAGGAAATAGTAGAAAAATATGTAAATGACGAACAAAGTGTAATAGAAAAAAAATGGGAATAGCTTTAGGGAACTTAAACAAGTCCTATTTTCCGTTTCCTCTTAATGTACGAACTAATCACAAGTTCTTTTGTTTCTAATTGGAAAATAACAAAGGAACATTTTTTTTTTATCTCCATGTGACTGTGCTGTAGCTTATCAAAACTTGGGATTTGGATCCAAGTCACAACTACATATTCGGGTTTCACCCCCACGGTGTGCTCGTTGCTGGAGCCTTTGGAAACTTTTGCACAGAGTGCTCAGACTTCAAGGAGCTGTTTCCAGGCTTGACTGCATACCTTCACGTGCTCCCAATACTGCTGTGGTTCCCTTTGTACCGGGAAAGCCTGTTGAGTATGGGTAAGTGAAGGCAGCTCCCTCTCTGTCAGGTCCAAGAATGGCAGAACCCCACAGAATGTTCCTTCCGCAGTCCAGCTGTGTTTCTACTTTCTTTGAGCAAACCCTTGTGTCTGGACTCCTTCCTGGCACTTCATATGCTGTTTGGATATTTGTTGTTGCCTGCACTGGGCTGTAGGTACTGGAGAGACAAAGCTGTGTTTTTTTTTTAATTTAATTAAAAAATTTTAATTTTAATTTTTTAAAAATTTACACCAAGTGGATTACAATCGAGATGGAAAAAATGTATAAAATGATGTAAAAATAAACTTTTGTAAATAAATAAAAAAAAAATTTAAAAAATTTTAAAAATAATAAAAAATAGCTTTAGAGAAGCATTCAAAAAAAATTTACACCAAGTATATGATACTTGGAATAGAGAAATGTTCCAGAGATGTTAATTCTATGAAAGAATAGGTTAATCAATGCATTTGGTGTGTCCAGATGTGGAAGAAAGACTGACACATCAAATAAGTGATAAATTGAAGCTTTGGAGAAGCATTTGTTCTTTGTTTTGAATTAATTGATTTTTTTTTGCATACAAGTAATAGGGTGTAGGCTAGAGTTGTGTGAGGTAAGAGGATTCACCAGAGACAGAGTGGGGAGCAAAACAGGCAGATGCAGTGGGCGAGATAGAAGAGGTCTGTTGAGCCATGTGGGTCAGCTCCCTGGCCGAGGATCAAACTCAGGGTACAATAGTGATAACACTAAGACTTAACCTGTAGGTCACTAGGGAGGCCCTGGAGAATCACTGTGTATGTTTTTATGAATAATAGAGGTAGAAAATATCCTCTGGTATGTTTTGAAGTAATGACCGCATGTAAACTAAGCATACTCAGTCTTCTATCTTTTCCCTCCCAGATTAAATATAGCTTGACCCAGAAATAAAAGTTTCCTCTTCTACTCTAAAATTATGGTAGGCTTTTTGATTAGTGAAATCAATTTCAAAAGTAAAATTCAGTTGAATTGCTGTAAAGGTATTAGAGAATCTGTTCAGGAATCTAAGCCTGTGTTGTTAATAGCCCTCATTTCAATGTAGGAGACCCATTTTGGTTTTCTGATGTGATCGATTTATTGGCTAGGCATTGACTACATTAACGAGGTGCTTATGTTTATGATCATTGTGTGGATTATCATCATCCCTGCATTTATCAGCTTTAAGAGGAATGTCTCTTCTTGGAAAATTCTATGTCAAGATTAGTAAGTGGCATATTCAGAAAGAATTTTCCATAGAAATTTTTTCAAGTCTTTCGTTTTTCTGGTCATTATATTCTTGGTAGGAACTCACTAAGCACCAAAAAAACTAAAATCTGTGGCTGGGTTTTGGCTTCTATGTATGGGCTCTTTAATACCCCAGTACTGGAGTTCAGATCCAATACGGGCTGCCATTGCATCTGGCCTCTAGAGGGCGCACTCAACCTCCAAATTAGGGCAGAGGGAAAACCTCCCTTCTTGATTTGCAGACATTGGGATAACGTTTTATGAATGCAAGAAAATTATGGGTTTTTTTTTTCCAATATTCAGAAAGCATATTTAGAGTATACAATTTACTCAATTTCATGGACAGCCATAGGTGAATGTGAAGAGTGTCATTGGGAACAGGTGTGGCAAATTCATGGTGTAAGATAAGCGGGCTCCATGACCATTCCAGATACAAATAATCAAACTTTCAGTCCTTCATTGTATAGTACCCTCATAGCCACTCTCACACAGTAGAACTGGCACATAAGACCAAGCCTGTCTGACTTAAAATATCATGAGAACCTTTCCTTTGTTATAACCGAGATGCCAAAAAGAGTCACTGGAGAGTTAGGATAACTATCCTTGGAAGCTGGAGTTGGGGTGAAAATGAAGTTGGGGTGTCTTGGAGCTGTTGAGGTAGAACTTTCCTTTGAGCCGGTGGAGATGTGGGCCTAGACACTCAAGAAAGTATCTCCCAGGGGATGGATTTGGGAGAACTCAACTCACATGATAGACTCCTTGTCTCTAAATTTAGTGAGCTCTCCCTTCACCCCAGAAGCAGCTTCCTAGGACAGGCCCTGGTGCAATCTGCTCTCTCTCCCTCGTGGCTGCCTCTCTGGGTGTGAATGACAGTTGGGTGCACCAGACCCGATGAAGTAAAGAGCAGCAGGTGTGTGTTTTGCTCTTACCCAAGAGGTTTCTGTGGCTGTAAATCCTTTTGAGTCCTTTGGCCCTTTGGCGAACCTACACTGCCCAGCAATCAGCCAGAGCACACTCTTCATTGCAAGCTTGCAGGCCCTCTGGCCACCCATTAAGCCTGGGCAGGTGGCTGAGATCAGGTCACAGAGCCTCATACTTCACACTTTACATTTCAAGTTGTAGGTAACCCACTAGGAAATTGTGAGGAATTTTGAGCAAAGGGCGCTGACTGGGTTTTGCATTATAAAGATCATTCCAGCATAGGCTAGAGGGAGGTGAGCTTGGAGACGGTGATGGTGGAAGGGGCCTATTGCAGTGGTCAAGGGAGGGCAGAGGAGGGCCTCTGTGACCATGACAGTGGACATGCAGAGTCGACTGATGTGGAAAATAGTTGATATGTTCAAGACTTACTGATTGATTCAACCCATAAAGCCAACTCTGTTAGCATCTAGAGCAGCATTTTGCTTGTAGCAGGTCTCAGTTCATGCTTTTGAGTGAATGAGCAAGTGATGAGTCAGCACTGGTAGTTGAGAAGAGGGGAACTAAGGTAGGAGAAGCCTGCGTTCCTGATTTGGGTGACTGGCAGCTGACGGGCTATTCACTTGGATAGGGAAAGCTGGGAAAGGAACAACGCTGAGGGAGAATTTAATGCACTGGGTTTAGAAAATGAGGTTGGGGTGTCTTTGAGCTGTTGAGGTAGAACTTTCCTTTGGGCCCATGGAGATGTGGGCCTACACACTAAGAAAGTATCTCCCAGGGGATGGATTTGGGAGAACTCAACTCACACACATGATAGTTTCCATGAGTGTAGATGAAGTTCAAAGGCAATGGACAGAATGCAGGAGCCTGTTTTGGCCTATTTGGGCTGTTATCACAGAATGCCACAGATTGAGTAATTTAACAATAGCCATTTATTTCTCAGAAACCTGGGCAGTGCAAGATCAAGGCATTGGCAGACCCAGGACCTCCCAGAAGCACAAGGAGTTAAAGCGCAGCACTACAAGGCCATCTGCAGCTATTGCAGCATCAGTTTGATCCCCGGCCAGGGAGTTGACCCACATGGCATAGCAGACCTCCCTTGACATGCCTCGCTGTTCCCCTCAGCAGTGTATTCAGTCCATCTGCCTGTTCTGCATCCCACTCTGTCTGTGGTGAATCCTCTTACCCCCCACAACTCTGGCCTGCACCCCAGTTCTTGTATGTATAAATAAAGAAATCTTAAAAAAAAAAAAAAAAGACACAGCAGACCTAGTGTTTGGTGAGACTTCACTTCCTAGTTTGCAGACAGCCATTTTATTGTGTTTCTGTGGTGGTGAAGTGGGGGAGAAAGAGGGTGTGTGAGAAAGCGAGATCACTTCCTCTTCTTTTAAGATCATGAAGCCATCATTCAGGTTCTACTCCCCTGCCCCAATTATCTCTCAGAGGTCCCACCTCTTAATACCAGACTACTGGCTGTAGAGTTTCAGCATTTGAATTTTGAAGCCACTCAAAAGTATAATCCCTAACATTTAAATGTAACATTTAAAGACAAGGCTTCTAAAGAGGAAACTGAGAGGTGGTCAGAGCAAAGTAGGAGAACCAGGTGACTGGAAGCCCAAGAGACCATCTTTCCTGTGGAGCTGATGCCTGGTGCCATCACGCAGGACTCACAGAGCAGATGGTCATGCTATGAACTCAGCAGGAGTTCAAGTCCATCAGAATCTCGGCCTTCTAGCTCCTACTCCCACTCTGACTTGTCTCTCCCCTTAAGTGGTTGGTTAGTCAGAATCCTGCATGTTTTTGTTAGTATATTCCCCGCAGTAAATGGGAACCTGTTTTCCTTCAAGAGATGAGGTGTGCTATGTTTTTATTTTGTAAAGATTTATGTTAGTTATTCACACATACAAGAACTGTGGTGCAGGCCAGAGATGGGGCGGGGTTGAGAGGGTTCACCAGAAACAGAATGGAGAGCAGAACAGGTGTAGCTACTGAGATACTCTGCTGAGGGGAGTAGCAAGTGAGACAGGAGAGGTCTGCTGTGCCGTGTGGGTCAGCTCCCTGGCTCGGGAGCAAACTTGTGCTGCAGTGGCTGCCGATAGCTTTATAGTCTGAAACTTAACCCCTTTGTGTCACTAGGGAGGCCTGGTATGCTAAGTTTTTATAAAACCTGCACAACAAATCTTTTATGACTTAAAAAGAAAGATAATAAAGAAAATGGAAGGAAGCATTAAGACTTTAAAAGCAATTATTTCTGAAATATAGGTTGTGAATGATTTGTATTTTCGTCTTTTCTTCTGAGAGTACAGAGTATTTTCTCCCAAGAGTACATAGCCCATCTCAAATCAGAAAAGGAATCTCCCATGAGTCTCCTTTACTTGGGAACAGCAGATACAGAGCCTGAGCAATTATGGAACTGCCTTAAACAATTTGTCAAAATCAGACCAGACATTTTAGAACAAGAGTAGAGATCTGGCTGTTGAATGAGGATATTTGTCAGATGTCAGTGTTTTTTTAAAATTATTCATATCATGAATTCATCTTTGGAAAATAAGAATTCATATAGAAATAGGCCACGGTGTGTTCAGAAGACCCACACCAGTCTGTTCCCCACCTTTAAGCGAGATCAAGCCCACCTGCTACATCTGTGCAGCTTCTGCAGTGAACTCCAGGGGGCGCCATTATTTCGCGTGCACTGAGAAAGCAGACCAGGTAGCTGAGCTGTGCGCTGAGACCCAGAAGAGCAAGAGCCTTGGGCTGATCACCTAATCTTTTTTATTTTTGTTTTTTGGTTTTTTTTTTATTATTTATTTTTGCGTAGAAGATCTGGGGTGCAGGCCAGAAGTGTGAGGGGTGAGCAGATTCACTGGAGACAGAGTGGGGAGAACAGGCAGATCGACTGAAATACCCTGTGGAGGGGAGTAGCAGGTGGGACAGGAGAGGTCTGCTGCACCATGTGAGTCAGCTCCCTGGCGGGGGATGGAATCCAAACCCAGGCTGATGTGGTGATAATACTAAGACTTAACCCATAAGCCGCTACAGAGGCCCTTGATCACGTGACAAAGTCCAGCCCAACAGCAACTGAAATGTTAGTTCTCATTAGAGGATCTCACCACTAAAGATCTGGTTGTGGCCTTATCATAAATCTGCAAAGTGCTCTAAATATCAGCACAGTAAGACATTGTATGAAAGGTTTGCTGATGCCGTAGAATTTCGTGATACTAATGTTTTCATTAAAACATTTTCTCACACAAACGTAGCGATAAAGGACTGATCACAAAAATATACGGAGAACTGATGAAACTCAACAAAAATAA